TAGAATATTTTTTCAAGTCAATGTGCCATCGGACATTAATTGTTATATTAAAAAAAGATTATTTTCAAAGTTTCAAGTATTTATGCAGCTTCAAAAGTTCTTTTTAAATCATAAAGAGTATGCAGTATTCAAAAGTTCTATCAGAATGTTAACAAGTTTGGGAACTCCACAACACAAGTGAACTTTTAATATAACATTTAAAGGTGAACTTAATAAATTAAATTACAATAAAATAATATAACAGCAATAAATATAGAAATTGATAACTCACAAACTAAATTTATCATCAATTAAAACTACAAATAGAATATTCTGCATTTTTATGAATGAGTTTACAAAGTATTTTCAACATAATAACTAAGCAAAAATGTGTTCTAAAATATTTACAAAATAAATATCTGATTACAATTCATTCAACATAATATTAAAATTAGTTACTTAACATAATAAAGAATAGATTTTATTATTTTGTCAAAAAAATTGAGTTTAGGTTTAAAAAATAAAAACTAGGATTTTTAAGAGATAAATATACCTGTGGTGTCTGTGTCTATGTTTAGAACGTTCTGTGCTGTGGCTCCGAGAACGGCTTCTATCACGTTTTTGGCTTGGCGAACGACTAGGACTACGAGTCGGGCTGGGACTCTTTGATTTTGCATTAGGAAATTCTTTCTTGAATAATTTTTCGAGTTCAACTTTTATTTGGTGATCTCGTACAAGTTCCTGAAACAAAATTAAATTGACAGTTAACCTCAAATCAATAAATAAAAAGAATTTTGGCCAGTGATAAGCTTCTACGGCTGAAAAAATCATCCTATAAAAAATAAGTTTCTTCTATAGCGAGAAGAATTGTAATGAACTTATTTTCTAAAACAAATATCAAATAGTAAACAGTTCATAACTGAAATCTATTTCAGTAAAAGTAATAATTTCCAAGCCATTTAATAAGTCACTTTTAAAACAGTAAAAATTGAGGGGGATTTAAAAGCAACTCAGCATCCTTTATGTTGTATCAATAGTTACTTTAAGTTCTACACAAAGAAGGGTAGTTTATATAATTATTGTTATAATTATATAAAGAACTTTTAAAATATCTTAATAAAATTATATATAATGTTATACTACAAATTGTGTATTGTATTCACAATTACAAACAGCATACTAACTTTCATAACCAAATATGAATATTCAATATATTTTAAAGCAAAAACAAAGTTAATGTCTAAATTTATAAAAAAAATCTTTTGCAAAAAAAGTTTTTAAAAAATTATAACAAATAATGATCAAATTAATATTTTATTAAGTAATATTTTTTTATTCTATTTAACTAAGTAAAACTTTTTAAATTTCTGAAGGGGAAAAGGCGGCTTTTTTAATACTTAATGACTTTTTCGTAAAAGTCATTGAGTGATAGATTATTTTAGTAGTATTGTGACAGGCATTATTACTTTTCTAAGAATTAGCTGTGATAAAAGTCAGGAATATCAATGGTGTTGAAAGGAAATTGTTCAGCTCATAAGGTACTAAAGAAAAAGTTTCAAAATTGTAAAAAATGTGCCATTAAATACCGTAAACTAAGAATGACCTATGCATGCTTTTTTCATAAAGATAGTTCATCCAACCTTTAAGTATTTGAAGTCTATGATTACAGTCTACTGTCTACATTGACAACCTGTTCTGTTTGAATTATCTGTGTGTGAATTTCAGTAGCTTACTTCCACAAACGCTCTTACGTTCTTCCAGGAATTATTCCTTAGTAGTAGTTGATAAGCCCAGGGGGGGGGCGAAACAGTGGCCTTATGAATTCAGATCGGTGGTGGAGAAAAAAAATTTGTAGGGGGCATATTTTTTCCCCCTAGGAAAATAGTTCAGTTCCAATAAAGTTAGTACATGAAAAATGGAAAGTAAAAAATACCTTGTATCTTTGATGTTTTATTAATGTATTTAGCCTTAAGCTATGCTAATTTTAAAAAAAGGACCAATGTAAAAAAAAGACCATTGCTTCCCTTTTTATGTCCCAGACCAATAAGCAGGTTGAGGTTCCTTGTTCATATTACATAGTTTAGTTTGGTGTGAGACGAGAACAGGAGTAGAGTACCTTACAGACTTTATTTTTAAAAAAAAGGTATGTAACATTACAAAATATAAGAGTCTTCCATTTGAAAATTCCTTATTTAAGCTTGACAAGCTGTATTTTTGTCAGCCATATGTGTGCATGGGAATGTCCAAATAATTTCAAAAATGTATTCGATGTTGCTAAACCAAACATTTTTTGTGCAGAATTTAAAAGTTCTAGTATTTTAATTTAAAAATTATACTTTTTTTTAATAGAAATAATGGTACGCTATAAAAAAATCCTTAAGATTTTTATTATTATTATTTATTTATATATATATTGAATAAAAAAAATTTCTCTAATTTTACCTTAGAAACATTGAGTTTATCATATCATAAAATTTTTTAAAAAAAACTTTTGGAACGGTTTATTATTATAAATGAATTCAATATGGCATATCAGTATCACAAATTTTAAAAAAATATTATTAATTAAAATTTTGAAATAATTTTTTTAACATTTACAATAACGAAATTTTGAAATGTAATTTTTAATTTCATGGATTTCTAGGGGTTTTCAGTATACAAATACATACAATTTTTTATTGATTTACTTAGTTCTTTTAACAAATGTAATGTTTTTAACAAATGTAATGTTTACTGAATTTGTTTACTGAATTTGTTCAACAATTTAACTTATTACTACAGTTTCTGAAAGTAAAAACAAAACTTATAAAAATTTAGTAGTATAAAAATTAGAATAAATTAAAACTCTTTTTTATATGCAAACATTGAATTTTGATATCTGATTATGTGTATTTTTAATAAATTTTGTATTAAGTTTTATAACATTTTCATGCATTATAAAAAATTTTATATTTAAATTGAAATTTAATAAATTTTAAATTTTAAAAAAAATTTCCGTTAAATGTGAAATTTAAGATTTCTTTGAACTTTCAATTTCTCTAAAATGTAATTTAAAATTATTAATTTTTGTTTCATACCATCACTTGTACTCTCTACTCGTTGCTTTCTCAAAATCTTGTATTTTTACTTGTTATTTTTTTAAAAAAAGAATGATAGAGAAATTTTTTAAATTTAATATATTACATTAATTAAAACATAACTCTTACTTTACAATATTAAAATTTATTCTATATCTCTGAAAAAAGTGAACTTAAGATATCTTAGTGAAGTTTTTAAAATTTACGGTCAAAAGTTTAGAGTTACTGTAAACTAGAAATTACCGAAACCTGCGGCAACTACATAATGGAAACTAAAATTTTAAGAAAGTTTTAAAAAAGAAACAAAATACTTACAATCTTTATAACAATTATCTGTGAAGAATCTCTGTAATCCCAAAATAAAACTCCAAATGAAAATGATAAACAAATAATAGTTACAAGATTTATTAATTTTATAAATTTCAATAGCTTATTTATTGGGTTCTTCTAGGGATAGAAAATTTAAATCTGAGCAATTTCAATAAAAAAACATTACTTTTAAGTTTAAATAAATATGCTTATTTTATTGATAGTTTTGATCAAGAATCTAATAAAGTGTTTTGAAAATTCTGTCATATTACAATTAAAAATTATTTCTTGTGATTCTGACTCTTTCTATAGCTATACATTCAAAAGTTTTTTTTTAATCAAATATTAATCAAGAAAGAAAAGATTGATTTTTTTTTTTTAAATCAGTGTTTCATCAACATATTTTTTGCTTAGTAGAAAATTGCTTATTTCACGTTAATTATTCAAATTGAGATAAAAAAATCAAGACACAAAGCTATTATAGAGCAAACTCACCTCACAAAAATTTTCATCAAATTGCATTTACTTAATCAAAATAATAATAATAATAATAATTTTAAATTTTTGGAATTTGGAAATCTCTTTTATAGCATTCTCTTTGTCTAGCTCTAAGATAGCATAAGCAACAAAGACAGCTTGAAATTGTGGCTAAGCTGCTATCGATTTAATGTATGAGTTTAACTTTTATTTCAAGACTTTACATCCTTTTTAATTTCTTGCATATTTATCAATAGACCCTTTAAAATATAAATGAAAGATAAAGCTATTATATTTTTAAGCTTCCAAAAAAAATTTCACATAGTATTTGATAAGTTCAATAAGAGGTATTTTTAAATAATTGCTAGCACAGTAAGACATTTTAACAATTATGATAGGCAATTTTTTTTTTTAATCATGGGTCCATGTATTTACTTATTCACATAATTGGAAGTTATATTTCAATCACTAAAAAAGAATTTTTAAAAAATTGAAAATTCCTTAAACAAAAACAAACTTTATTCCTAAAAATTTGAAAATTATTAAACTTACGCTAATTTTTTCTATGACAGCAATTACTAAATGTAATATTTAAAAGGCTTTAAAAATTCTGCAACGAACTTATAAATAATAAACAGGTTAGTCTTAATTTGTAATATAAAATAAAATAGAAAAAAATTTAGTTATTTAATATTAAAAAAACATTATTAAAAAAAAACATTATAAAAGCTATAGTTTTTTAATATTTCTTTAAAGCAACAAAAAATTTTAAGAGGTCAGATTGTGTAAAATCAACTTACGTGTATAATACAAATTTAAAACTAACTACACAGTGAATCAATAAATATAACACAAATACAGAATTGTGAAGAACAGATACGGGAAATGACAAATAATAACATAAAATATCAAATAATGACTTCAAAAATATAAAAAGTAATAAAGAGATATTAATCTTCAAAACTAATAAATTTATAAGTTTAAAAAAGTTTTAATGAAATAATTATGTACTTCCAGCAAAACTATATAAGAAAGATGAATAAGCGCAATTTATGTAAAATACACAAGAAGTTTAGTTAGAACACGCTATTTTCGTAAAAACCTAACCAATAATTTTTCACCCTCTGTAATAGATTGCTGATCTTTTTTAGTAAATTAGTGACAATATAGAAGGTTTCTCATAGTTCCAAAAGCATTGAAGTCTACGGCAAATTTTGGCACTGATTGTGGTTCTGTTTCCTCTTCAGCGGCATCACTTAACACTTACTAAGCTTCTGCAACCATTTTTTCAACAAACAGCATACCATAAATTCCAACACTTTCCATAAACACTTCAAAATAAACAAAAGTAATATTTGAGGTGTTTTCTTTAAAAATTTAAAAATCCTCATTTTTTTTCTTCTTCATTACCATCACTAGTTACAGTTTTTCTTATCAAAACAAAATAATAGAATTTTCTCACATGTTGGTAAAATTTCTGAACATTAGATGCGGGAACCTTTTAATTTCAGAAATGATCTTAACCAATATTAGTAACATTATTAGAATAGGGTTTGTGAGGGAACAGATAAAACAAGACAATACATACGAGAAAACATAAGATGCAGGAATGATGGATCGAGGTTCAACTGTATAACTGTAAAATAAAAACCCCATCTCAAAAGAAAAGAGAAAAAGGTGGGTCTTAAATAATTACATTTTTGAAAAAAAAGGACAAAACTTTCAGAACATAGAATGTAATACTTACTAAATTTCCAGAAAGCACAAAAGAGATTTGTAAAACTTAATATCATAAATAATTTTATTAATTTGTGGTTCTGACAACATATTGTAAAAAGTTTGACAAAATTTTAGAAGGGTACATATTTTATCGAGTTTTTCGATACAGGGTAGTATTGAGTAATCGTTCAACATTTTAATCTTCTGGATTGTCATAAAATATGATTTATATATTAAATGATGATTTTTTTTCATTTAAAAAACACATTAATTTTTAATTAATAAATTTATTTACTAAAATATTCGTAAAAAAAGAAAGTTATTCAAAACTTAATTCCACTAACAATTCCATAAAATATTTTTAAATAATTAAATGTAAAACGAACATGCTTCATCTAGCATTTAAAGTAATATGCATGTATAACAGAAAACACATAATAATCATTTACATACAATTAAATTCAATTTTCTGGTCATTAATTATTAGATTTTTTTTTTTTAAATCCTGCAATTTTAACAAAACTATATGTACCACATATCACATTTGAGTAATCACTTTCTGACATGCTCAATTTGAAACAATTTCATAGTACATTCATGTGGTTTTGTTGCCTTTTCCAGAAATTGTAACTATAAATTTTCTATGTAGCAAAATTAAGAACAATCACGCATCATAATCATGATTTTTTTTAGCTAAAATTAAGATAGTAAAACTTTTTTTTTAATATTTTATGTAAATTTATCCTTAAAAATTTTTTAGAAGAATTACAAAATGCCATAACCTTATCTACTTATTAGAAATAATCTTTAAAGAATATTACTAAGAGCTTATTTATATTTTAGACATTTTTATCATTTTTAAAGGTACTGCACTTTCTTTTCCAAGAAAGCTTATGATTGAATTACAAAAAGTGTAAAGCTCTTAAACTGTAATTTAAATATGATTTGGGGAAAAAAATGTTTAAAAATCTAATTTCTAAATATAGTTTAAAATAATTTTGAAAAGACTGAATGCAGTCAAAAATTACACAATTTAAAGACTTATTTCAAAAATATCATCAACAATGCACGACTATCAGATAATGGAAGATATAAATTAGGAGTTCATTAGCTTTAACTGCAATCAATAAGGCCAAAACTACTGAAAAGGAAGCCTTTTTCAATCTACCTAAACTCTCTGCTCTTCTAGGAAATTTCAGCACATTTAAAAAAGACTTACCAAATTAGGATAATAGGATCTTTAATACTTCTTTCAATGTAGCAAACAATGTATTTTGTCAAAAGTTCTAGGGAAAATAAAAGTAACTCAGCCATACAAAATATATTGTTTAAGTAATCTCACTTTGCATAAAAGGGATGACTACATATAACTACACTTTATTTAAATATAAAATATATACTGAATGTATCTATAGCAATCTTTTTAGAAATATTTCAAATTTAATAAAATAGAAGTTCCTTTAAACAATTAAATACTACAAAGCATATGTTCTCAATATTATTAATATATAATTATTACTATATCTAGCGATTACACATTAAAATCGAATTACCTCCAGTTCTTGCATTTTTTCTCTAATAGTGATGAAACCTAAATGTAGCTTTCCATTGAAATGGTCGGCTAACCTCCGATCATTGTCATTAACTCCAAGGTATGAAGAACAGACTTCACAAACTCTAAGTTTTTGTTGTTGGCTTATCGAAGCAGGAGTAGCATTTCTATAATCCTCCTAGTTAAAACGTAATGCATAAATACACAATACTGAAACACAAAAAGATTTATCCACCGAAAATAGAACACTTAAAAAATCATTGTATGAAGAAAAGAAAAAAAGTTTTTTATAGACAAACTTGTGTCAGAGTTCCTAATTAGAAAATAATAAATGTAAAAACTTAAAAATAATGCCGTTCACAGAAGATTTATCACCCTCAGGGAGATTTTTTTACTAGAACTAAAAAAGAAAATAGTAATCAGGGTGGCCACTCAAATCAGGCTTCAAATTTCCCTGATTTTTCCAGGTTTTCCAGACAAAAATCTTAAAATTTCCAGGTTTTTGTTTCTTTTTTCTTATAAAGTCTAGGATGTGTACAAAAAAAGTGTCTATATTATAAAATATTTTATTCACAATGTTATTATTTTTTTTAACATATCATTTTGAAAGAAATAATTTTTGACAATTTGGCAAGATTTTTTAATGTTTTGGTACAAAATTTTGAATCAAAAATCATATATTGACCAACAAAAGAGTAAAATTAAATATTAATATATAATTGGTTCTTAAAAAAACCTTTTTTTCTTAAATTAAAATATGTTATAAAAGGTTAAAATGAAATTAAAAAAAATTAGCATTACTGCAACAATTGTAACGATTTGTCGACAAACATTGCTGTTAGCGATTGTAAAAAAATGTGCGATGGGTTGGTTTGCTGAGAAAAAATAATTCACAGATTTCTTTGAATGGGAGTAGAAAAGCTTTCAGAAAAAGAGTGCAATATAAAATCTATTATTATTAAATTATAACCAAATAACTTTTGGAGAATTTATAAAGTTGAAAATACAAAAACATTTTATCAAAATTACCACTAAAGCATCAGAACAAACTTGAGAAATAAATGGAGCTATAATTGGGCTGTTTTTAAATATATTGGGATGTTAGATATATTGGGCTGTTTTTAAATTCTGTCCAAGGACAGAATTTAAAAACAGAAGCTAATATCTTAATCCCTTTTTCCACCTCCACCAGAATCTTTCCTAAATTGCACAGTCCCATAGCGGTCAAAGGTTTCTATATTCGCTTAGCAACAGTGGGAGAATTTTATGTGGCATTCTAATTTAACGGAGCTGTAATGGAGCAAATTTTGATGCAAGCAAAGTATTGCTAAGTTGATGATATTTCAACAGTTTAGCAATACATTTCCGTTTAAAAAAAGGGATGAAATAATTTAAATTAAGAAAATTAGTAAATAATTTAAATTAGTGAAATTAAAAAAATTATCAAAGAAAAAATTTCCAGGTCTTCTTTAAAATTCCCTGATTTTTCCAGGTTTTTATTCAAATTTCCCTGATATTTCCAGGTTTTTTCCAGTATAAAAAAATTCCCTGATAATTCCAGGTTTTCAAGGTTTTCCAGGTGGGTGGCCACCCTGAA